CACAAATTCTCCTAAATCACTCYTACGCACAACTTAAGAACAAATCTGTGCGTACGAACGGTTCTTGCATGAGGCCCAGTGTTTCTCACAGTGGAGACTGAAAGCTGAAATCTCTCAGATATCTTTCTGTATCCTTCCTCTAAACCATGACGGTGAACGATCTTTGTTTTCAGCTCATTTGAAAGTTGTTTTCAGACTCCCACTCTTCAGAGAAGATGCAAAGAGGTGAAAAACTTACTATTGCCCCCTTTAAATACACTTTCTCATAATTGGAGTCACCTGTGTATGGAGGTCAAAGGTCACTGAACTTAACAAACCAAATTTAATTTCCAAAAATTAGTTCTAAAGGTTTTGAAACCAATAAAACAACAACGGTGCCCAAATTTATGCACCTGCCTAATTTTTTTAACCAATTATTGCACACTTTCTGTAAATCATATCAACTTCATTTCACTTCTCAAATATCACTGTGTTCGTCTCCTATATGATATATTTAACTCATCTTTTTAATCCAAACAATCAATGATTTATAAAGGTAAATCAGGAAAATTAACAAACGTCTTCATATGACTGTATATCAGGACTTAATTAAATAAAATACACAATTACAACAAAGCTAAAATATGAACTCATTGTTCTGATCAGTTAAAACCAAACAAAGTRTTTCATCGTGTAATTTTTCTCGACCTGCCGTTCTTCTCTAGACTCCGATGTCTCCCCYAGTCCAAAATCTCAAGTGCTGACCCCGGCGGGTCGCGGCGCACGCAGCGACAGCTTGGACAGCCTGAGGGGCGTTTCCCCCTCTGACCTGAACACCATCATGTGCAGAAACGTGCCTCCGGCCCTCAACAGGAAGTACGTGATCGAGAAGCACTTTGCTCGGTTTGGGAAAGTCCTTAAGGTTTCCTGTCGACGTGCGAGGAATTTTGCCACCGTGCATTTTGGCGATCACGTGAGTTTGTTTTTAATGTATCTTTTTTTTTGTCCTCGTGTTGTCAACAAACAGAACTTTATGTTTAATATTGCTTTTAATTTCAGTTTAAGATGTTCTACTTTTGTTTCTTCTATGATATGTCAGAATGAGTGTCTGTTTTAATTGACCAAACTGTGCATGGCTGCTTTTTATAATCTACTTCAGATAACAGGGATTATTTGTTGAATTTCATGTCTTTCAGGCTGCAGCTGCGAAAGCGAAAAAGAACGGAAAAATCCTGCAGGGAACTGAGCTGGTACTGCTGTGGCAGAGGAAGAAGCAAAGTAATTATTGTTCAAACGTTAGTCAGTACAGATTGTTTTTTATTTTATTAATAATGATCAACAGGTCTTCAAATGATGTAAGATTTGTTAAAGGGATCCATGATTAGTTGTAACATTAGACTTTATTTAATAAACATATATTTTAACTGTAAAATAAAGACTGAAAAAACTGTAGGATGTTTAGTTTTTATAATTTTTAAAATATATATTTTAACACGGATAGGGCCATTTTATTTACACGCAAAGCATTCTGGGTAAATGATGACGTGGATAGGTCCTCGGCGTGAGGCTGCTAGCTAGCTACAGTGGTTTGCAA